AGCATAATAAATATGCATGTTTGGGACCATATAAAGTTGCTTTAGAATGTAATTGGTGAGATGCATTGATAGCATACGTAATGAATTCCAAACAATCTATGCCAAGTTAAGCTTGATATATACTATACCTGTACGAAATTACTGTCACTGAAGAACACCAAAAGCCTCCTTCCCTGTCTAACACAACCTGCATGCTCACGACACAAGATGAAGTCTTTCCAAAGCACCTTTAATTCACTGTACTGGTGATCTGTGGTAGCGGGCAAATGGGCCATGCAAGAGTACCAGAGGAATCTACTCGGTTCCTTCTTGGACTCTACAATGGTGACGAAGGACACTCATATTTTGGTTACACACAAGTATAATGTCTCATTGAAATCACATCAATACAGTCTGATTCACATGCATGGATCGGAATACAGGTGGTTTTATCATAGCTATATATGAGCATAAAATTTTGAGCACTGCAATGCACTGTGTTCTTGAGAACCCAAGCAAACACTCTGAGCTCACTTCATCTTTGCCACTGCCGTACAGTTTTAGATTAAGATTCTCCTCCAGACAAGCCGTAGAACTCTTCTGACACAGGGGACTTCGGGTGCAGGTCACGAAGCATGTTGAATGAAGTCATGTGAAAGTGAGAACGGAGTCTCACTCACTGACACTGCTGCAAGAGGAGTGCCATGCATGAAGACAGGATGTGTCATGTCTGCAAATACCTACACCTTTGTCTACTGAGCTGCAAGGCTTACTCTCCTCTCTTGTGATGTGGTCCAAATGATATGAACTAAGACCTGACCTGCTCGCAGAAACAGGCCAGACTGCAACTCCATCTCATTTTTTTGACCTCAGTTCATTTAGTTCAGACTCGATCACTGATCAAATTATTGGATTGATGAAACTGGTTGTCATGCAGATTAAGTTGAATCAAATCCCATGTCCATGGAGTGGATCAAGTTACCTTACACCACAAAAGCTTCCCACTTCCTTCTAATGACTTGTAGCAGAAGGCGAGGAAAGATATGCAGAAAGTATTGAGATTTAATTCATAATTATCTAGGTAGTAATCATGATCTATTAGTTATAGGATAATCTTAATAACTACCTCAATCATGATCTAATAGTTATAGGATGATTACCACTAGGTCCTATAAATAGGACCATAGTTCATGAAGTAAGGGATATAGAAAGTGTGTGCACTTGGGAATATCTTGTGAGTGTTTTTGTCAATCCTCCTGTTTTTAATACTACAATAGTATTCTGTTTTTTTTCCTTACTCCTCCATCCCCAACATTTATGGTATCAGAGTCTAGTTTCAATATGAATTGGGCATTATGGTTTTCCAACCTTTTATTCCTATCTTCTCGGGCAAATGCTATGAATTTTAGAGTATCAAGATGAAGACTCTATTCAAGTCTCAAGATTTTTGAGACTTAATAGAGAATGGATATGCGGATCCAGATGACGAAATCAGGCTGAGGAAGAATAGAAAGGACTCAAAGGCATTGTTCTTCATTCAACAAGCTGTACATGAGAAAATCTTCTCAAGAATTACAGCAGCGACAACCTCAAAACAAGCTTGGTTGATACTTCAAAATGAATTTAAAAGCTCATCAAAGGTGATTACGGTAAAACTTCAAACCCTTCGTCGTGAGTTTGAAATTTTGTTTATGAAAAGCAATGAATCGATGCAATATTTTCTTTCTCGAGTGACTGAAATTGTTAGTCAAATGAAATCTTATGATGAACATCTTTCTGATCATATAATTGTTGCAGAAGTTCTAAAAAGTTTAACTCAGAAAATTGATCATGTTGTTGCCACAATTGATGAGTCAAAAGATTTATCTATATATTCATTTGATGAACTAATGGGTTCCTTGCAAGCACATGAAGCAAGGTTGAACAGGTCACTTGAAAAAAATGAAGAAAAAATATTTCAGGTTAAGGGGAGTCTTCTACTTCAAAAGAAGAAAAAAAATCAACAGGAAGAGGACGTGACAAAGGAGGATTTTGTGGTAGAGAAAATGGAAGAGGAAAAGGAAGAGGACACTTTGATGGGTATGATGAACAAAGACAATCAAATTATAATAAAAAAATTACAAGAGTAGAATTCAATGTCACTATTGTAAAAAGTTTGGTTAGGCAGATTGCTGGAAAAGAGAAGCAAGCAAGCTATATGGAGGAAAATGAAGAAAATAGTAAGTTGTTTATGACTCATTCATAAGTTTATAATATCTCAAATGATATTTGGTTTCTGGATAGTGGATGTTCTAATCATATATCAAGCATAAAATCAATATTTAGAGATATTGATTAAATTCACAAGTTGAATGTTAGACTTGGAGATAACAAGCAAATCCAAGTAGAAGGGAAAGGAACAATTGAGGTGAAGACAAATCAAAGGAAGGTAAAATACCTTGATAATGTTTTCTTTGTTCCTACTTTATCACATAACTTATTGAGTATTGGACAATTGATAGATGATGGATATTTGATAATGGTTCATGCACTATTAAAGATAAAAAATCTCATTTGATTACAATAAATGTTTGCATGATGCAAAAAAGATGTTTCCACTTGATGTGTCAAATATTGAGAGGCATGCGCTTGTCGCAACTTAAAAGAATGAGTTAGTTTATGACATTTAAGATATAGACACCTTAACATTAAGGGTCTAAGGTTGTTAAGTAAAAAAGGAATGATTTTCGGATTACTTAAAATTAATACACTTGATATATGTGAAGGATGTATTTATGGCAAACAAAGTAAAAAATTATTTTCTATTGGAAAATCATGAAGAGCATTTAATTGTCTTGAATTAATTCATGCTGACTTATGTGGACCTATGAATACAAAATCATTTGGTGGAAGTCAATATTTTCTATTGTTTACTGATGATTATAGCCGCATGAGTTGGGTATATTTTTTGAAACTGAAATCTGAAACATTTGATAATTTTTGAAAGTTTAAGGCACTTGTAGAAAGGCAAAGTGGTAGATATATAAAGACACTTCGGACAAACAGAGGTGGTGAATTTTTATCTAATGAGTTTAGTTCTTTTTGTGAAGAAAATGATATTCACATAGGATTGATAGCACCATATACATCGGAGCAAAATGGTATAGCTGAGCGTAAGAATCGGATTGTCGTTGAAATGGCAAGAAGTTTGCTTAAAGGAAAACAAATTTCAAATCAGTTTTGGGTAGAAGCAGTTACAACAGTAGTTTATTTGTTGAATATTTCACCAACAAAGGTTGTTATGAATCAAACTCCTTTTGAGGCTTGGTATGGTATGAAACCAAGTATTAAACATCTAAGATTTTTTAGTTATATTGCTTATGCTTTGGTGAATTCACAAAATCATCATAAGCTTGATGAAAAATCTTAAAAATGCATCTTAATTGGTTATTCCTTACAATTGAAAGCATATCGATTATATAACCCTGTTAGTGGCAAAGTTATTATTAACAGAAATGTTACGTTTGATGAAAGGACAAGTTAGAATTGAGAAACCAATAAAGGTGGAACACAAATACAGATTCCGGTAGAACTAGACACTCTGCAGAATCAAATGATAGATCCTGCTCTAACAAGTTCATTGTCAACCTCACCCAATAGCAATTCAAATTTTGATTCCTCAGATGAAACCCCTCCAAGAAATTTCAGATCACTAACAGAAATTTATGACTCAACATTTGCTTTGTTTATTTCAGATCCAACAACTTTTGAGGAAGCAATTAAAAAAGAGGAATGGAGAAAAGCAATGAAGGAGGAAATCAACTCAATCGAGAAGAATGAAACTTGTGAGCTAATGGATCTACCAAATGAAAAGAAAGCTATTGGATTAAAATAGGTGTTCAAAACAAAGTTTAAATGTAAATTATTTGATTTCAGTGATAGTGATTAGGCATGAGCTTTAGATGATCGAAAGAGTATACAATGTTTTTAGCCTCGGATCGGGAGCTATATCTTGGAGCTCTAAAAAGTAAGCAACAACTACGTTATTGACATCGGAAGCAGAATATATAGCCGCAATATCAGCAGCTTGTCAAGCAATATGGCTTAGAAGACTTCTTGAAGATCTTCATCAAGAACAAAAAGAAGCAATAAAAATATTTTGTGACAATAAAGCCACAATTGCAATGACGAAGAATCCAACATTTCATGGAAGAACGAAGCACATAGAGATACGCTATCATTTCATCCGAGATCTTGTAGCAAGTGGAGCCATAACGATGAAGTATTGTGAAACAAATGAACAAGTTACGGATATCTTCACCAAGTCGCTTCCAGTTCAAAAATATATTTATTTCATATCGCATTTCGGTTATGTAACTATGAATCAAGGGGGAATATTGAGATTTGATTTATAGTTATCTAGGTAGTTATCATGATCTAGTAGTTATAGGGTGATCTCAATAACTATCTCATGATCTAGTAGTTATAGGATGGTTACCACTAGGTCCTATAAATAGGACCATAATTCATGAAACAAGGGATATAGAGAGTGTGTGCACTTGAGAATATCTTGTAAGTGTTCTTGTCAATTCTCTTATTTGTAATACTATAATAATATTTTATTTTTTTTCTTGCTCCTTTATCCCTAGCAGAAAATAGCAATGATGAAGAGGAGAAAAAGGTCGAAGCAGTGGGAATCTCGACGATGTCCATCAAGATGTAGCGCGAATCTTGAAACATCAACAATCATCTGGGCCCATGGGCCTTGTTGTGGGAATTCGACGGTGCTCATCGCGATGCAGCGTCGCTCTTTCGTTTGACGTGATGATGACGACGGCTAGACGACAAGAGAAAACCAGCGGCGGCAGGATGAGGCCGCCACCTCCGCCCACCTAAATATCGTGGACTCACCGTCAACGAAAAGGACATGTTTCCACTCCGGTGGTCTCACTCGAGATGTGTGAGACGAACGGTGAGCCGCGCCATCCGCTATTAAAAGCCAACGGTCCCGATTGATAGATGGATTCTATATGATCCTCCGCGGAGCATCGCACCGTCCCAGTATTCCCGCATTCCAAGAATATCCCGAGCGGCGAGATCGCTTCTTCGTCTTCCTCCTCTCCGTCGTCCGTCCTCACCGCGTACGCGAAAGCCAATGGCCCGAATCGATCACGACCGTCCGCTCCTCGCCCCCGACCCCCCGACGCCGCTCTCTGATGGCATGGCCGCGAAGCCCAGGGGCGGGGCCCGGGTGCTCTGCTTCATCCTCCAGACCTTCGTCATGGCCGTCGCCCTCGCGCTCTTCTTCCTATTCGCTGGGGTCGCCGCCGTCGTCCTCCTCCACCTGTGCGTCGCTGGACGCGCCTTCCGTCGCCGCCGTAGCGGCCGCCTTTATTCGGTCGCGGTCTACGACGCCCCCGACGCTGCCCCTGTGCCCGCCGGCCTCTCGGCCGCCGAGATGAAGGGGCTCCCGATGTTCGAGTACTCCGTCATGTCGGCGTCCTCCCCGTTGCGTCCGCCTATTTGCGCGGTGTGTTTGGAGGGGTTCAATGAGGGGGAGAGGTGCCGAGCTCTGCCCCCGTGCGGGCACGTGTTCCATGCCCCCTGCGTCGACGGGTGGCTCGTGAGGTCGCCGGGTTGCCCGATCTGCCGCGCTCGCATTGGCGCGGCAGCGTCGGAGCCTTCGATCGGCCGGACGGCCGGTGGGGTGGGTTCGATCGGTGGATTTTTGTAAGTAATTTCTGTTCGCTCGTGCTAGGGTTTCGTCATCCTTGTGCAAAAAAAAAGGTTCCTTTCTCTCTTAACTTAGCTTCTTCTGAAACCATTGTCCTTGTGAAGCTGACAACTCCTGCAATTTAGATCTTTTGGTGCATTTGATGAGTTCCTTTCACTCTTAATTTGAGTTTCTGTCCCAAAAAAAAAAAAGATTTGGAAGATGGAATCAGTGATGTTGTTAAAAGCAATAATTTTTCTGTCAAGAGCAGGTTTTTGTGAGCAATCAAAAAGTAAGCCTCATTTGCCATTTATCATTGTTGTAAATGATGAATAGAAGAAAAAGGTTCCTTTCTCTCTTAATTTAGCTTCTTCTGAAACCATTGTCCTTGTGAAGCTGACAACTCCTGCAATTTAGATCTTTTGGTGCATTTGATGAGTTCCTTTCTCTCTTAATTTGAGTTTCTGTCAAAAAAAAAAAGATTTGGAAGATGGAATCAGTGATGTTGTTAAAAGCAATAATTTTTCTGTCAAGAGCAGGTTTTTGTGAGCAATCAAAAAGTAAGCCTGATTTGCCATTTATCATTGTTGTAAATGATGAATAGAAACTTGAATCTCTCACCCTTCTGTTGCATGTTGATGTGTGAATTGAAATTGAGAAGATATGTCATAAATATGTGTTCTGATGTGGTGAAATATTCTTGTAATTTGGTTCTTTTCCTTGATCTAATGAGCAATAACCATTGAAGAAGGTTACCTGAGGAAGTATTATACATCAAAAGAGAGATTTGGTGACCAAAAAAAGGGTAAGTTTCTGATTGCTCTTTTCAGATGCTGTAGAACAATCAACAATGAGCTGAAAGTTGAATTTTTTGAATACATAAATGCAACTATCTATTTTTTTTTATCCACCTATACTTTTATCATGTTAAAGTGAAACTGCAGTCAACTGAGATATTGTAAGATATGCCTGAAACTGAAGTAGTCATGAATGTGTTTTTGATGTGAGCTATTGGTTATTTATTCATTTTGGGTTGAGTATTTAAAATCTCATTTCTTTTAGAAGCTTACTGATCTCTTTTTTACTATTGACAACCTTCTTGTAATTGATAATTCTTAACTATTATTTTACTATTTATAATCATAATATTATTAATTTTATTTTTTTCTTCCTCATAGTATTAGAAATATTTATAATCATATTATTATTATTCTTCTAAGATAAAACCCTTCTATTATGCTATGCTCATATGGTGTTTGCTTGAAAGGCAAAAATGCAACATACTGTATAAATATTCTATATAGATGTTTGATTCGAAACGTTGTGAGACACATTATTTACGAGTGCAGCGCGTCATTTGCGTCCGCCGTTGGTATCTTTTGCTGTGATTGGGGCTCCGCCGTCCGTCTATATTTTGATTGCGCCGGCCCAGATCACGTCTCGGTCCAATCCATGTCTTGTTCTCGAGCTAGAGTGCTACGAACCACTGTTTTGTAAGGGTTTTGGTTCCTCGGGGGAGGCTTCCGCCGGAGCAAGAGGGATCTTCAACGGTGATAAGGCATATTTTGATCCCCAGACGAGTCATCACCGACGTCACACGCCACGTCCCCACCAATATTAGAATATGATGTCGCACGCCATCAGAACCTTGTGACGCACGTCAAGCCAGGTTCCATACCGAGACACTATGCGACACAACTGTCCCAAGGGCTCGGGGCGGTGCCGTTTGACACCACTCAGGCACTCCCCAAGACGCTAGCTCGTTAAAAAAGCTATCCCATCCCACAAGGGTCAGTGGCCACATCGAACCGAGGCGCAACCAATCCTCGTACAATAGTATACAAACCCTTGGTCGACGCCCGGCCAAGGGGTAGAAAAAACTCGATATCAAATACTCCACTGACTTGCTCGTTAGAGGGGCCAAAGTCGGGAAGCACCCGACGAAGGCCATTTTGCAAGAAGGCGGACACCCCCGAATGGTGAGCGCCTCAACTCGGGAATTGCCATCCAGTACACGAGGACGCGCTGCCATTCTTCCCGGAGTCAGAGAGACGTATCCCACCACAAACGGTGCCCGGGTCGGCAAACTAAGAAACGCTGATCAACATCCTCCCACGAGGGCCCAGTCGACTCCGCCAGCCCGACTCTTGCCCGAGTCGCTCCGAAACGGTCACCCCCGAGCGACGAGCGTCCCAACCCAGGAGATACCTTCCATCGCATAAAGGAGAGCAGTGAGTTGGCCCGGATCCCGACCAACGCCGACCAACATTCCTTCTCGAGGGCGTGGCCACCTTATCATCCTACTCACCCCGCAAGAAGCTCCCGACATCGACTTGCAGACCTAACCGTGCTGACTCATCAGCCACAGTACTTTTGTTCACTAACATTTTGGCGCTAGAATGAGGGTCATGACGTAGGAGCAGCTGACAGGAGTTCTCCCCGGGAGAGAACCACCGACTGACCTCCCTTCTGTCGAGCTAGAAAGTCAGGCCTTCCCCGCCCCCAGAGACGGGGGGATCCCGGCTTCGACACCAAATCGCTATTGGCGTTTGTTCAACGACCCGGGATTGTCGCCCCCAGGGCTCACCACAAGGCCCTCGGCCGTGACACCCGAGGCGTTCCTTAGCCTGACCAAGCAAGTGCAGGCCATGGTGAGCATAATGCAGATGCTCGCTCCAATCATTCCCCAGATCGTGCGACTAGCGACACCTCCGATCGACTCGACCCGGCAACCCCCGAGCGGGGAGCAAGTTAGGATCGAAGAAGCCCGAGAGCAAGCAACGGACCCGAGAGGTCCTCCCGGGCATAACATATCCACACCCTGCTGTTAGAACCCTTGCAGATGCTAGTCATAGGTGCCCAGCAAGCCAATCACGTGAGTGATGGCACGTGTGACTTGATACAGAATCTTTTTGCTTATTATATTTTGGTGTATATCACTTTATAACTATTGCATAAATGCATATATATATTGTGATGTCCTTGGATTTGTGTAATGGGAATCGGATCGTGATGAGATCACGATAATGAGATCGATTCACCTTTAAACACATATCCTAAATAATCCCGGTCATAGGTTACTCGAGAGGGACATCGTGATAACCGGATAGACTGGTGTGCTGTATACCCGTCCATATGATGGATGCAGCTGGTCTCATAGCTGCTCGTGTAGGGACACTATGGATACAGTACAGGTGCTCATTGGAGAATGAGTTCACTGATTAATCCGCTTACGGAATGCTGGATGGTTGATGATGCCTTATTGTCAGACAGCGATTCCGTAGTCCTAGTGGTGTATCTGGTCCTGAGACTTGAGACACCAAGGATGTCCTGTATGAGTGCTCCACTCTTTTATACCAGATTTATAGGTTTGGCTGTCCCCAGATCTAGTACAACTGGTCATTGGGAGTGGTAGTCGACCTTACGAGGGCTATTGAGTGTCAATAGAGGATCATCCACTCTCGGCGTCATGAGAGGAATATCCTATGTGTTCTTGCTCAGATAAATCCCTGGCCAGGGTCATTCGGGTTGAGAGAGAAAGAGTTCTCCGGGAGAATCCGATTAGAGCGAGACTCGAGTAGAAACCGTATGGGTCTGATAACACCATGCTCGATATACGGTCTCTGGGATATTAGATGGATGAGGGACTATAGGTACATGGTAACTGAGGACAGACAGGTCCAATGGATTGGATTCTCCTGTATCGTCTGGGGACTACGGCGTAGTGGCCTAGTAC